ATGCAATAATTGATGATAATTGAACAAAAATTATGATAATGATAAAATCGAATATGATGATTAAATGATAGATATTAGAAATAATAGCGATAATGATTGATAGAATCATAATAACATAAATAGATAAATAAAATATGTATATGTATTATAAACACAATAAACAGCAATTAGAGTACATACATTGATGCGAACACACACAACTCATTCCTTGTCACACACAGATGTCACGTTAAGTTTTTATATCGATTTAGCATATACTCACACACACACATTTATACACACACACACATATGTTACAGGATCCCTTTGCAGCACACACACGACATATATATTATATTATATTATTATATAGAACTATATATGTAATAGTTATATCTTATTAGTACGTTGTGGTAAAAAACACACGACTCTCAATACATCCACTCACACAACATGATCACACACACATTTTGTATCACACATTTGGCTTAACACACACATATGTTGACGGAGACACCACAACCACACACACACAACACACAAAGCGTAGTTGAAGAATTTCACAATGTACAATATATTTATAGGGTATATATATTTTATACTAGCATTATATCATGGTAGTGTGGGTATGCATTATTGTATGTATGGGGGCGCTTATGTATAGTATAAGGCCTGTACATGTATACATTTAATGTATGTGTGTAGTGCGTGGAGTACAATTCGGAGCGCTCACTCACAATTGGTTTATTGAATCATCATATATCATTATCTTTGTTTATTTGTATTATTCGTTATATCGTATTCATTGTTAATTAATTTCATTATTTTTTTATTATTATTATGCATTATTATTATAAGTTAATAATATTACTATATCATTACTATCATTATTGTTTTTGTTGTCGGTTATTATTGTTATCAGCATTAAATGCATGCGTCATTAAGTCGGTTTTTATGTTGTTGTTAGAATAACATTATTTTATTGTTTTATTGATTTTAATATTGTTATTATTATTATTTTGTTGTCGTTTTATCATGTATTATGCATTCTTTTATTGTGTATTATTATCATAATGTGATTATCATCATCAGGTAGTATCAAGATTATATCTATCTTGTATTATCATTCGATTTCATCCGCCCATTACAATTCATTATTATCATCATTATTAGGTTGTTGTTATCATTAGTTTAATTTTAGGTATGGTATGTTTACCGATCCAAGAAAACAGACAGCTAGGATGACAGCAGTAGGTGTAATACAGACAAAACCCCGTACGCAGGCTACTTCTATGTACGTGGTCTGCAATGTATAGACGTGAACCCACGAACACACCAGACGCTACGCACGACGGAACGGATAACATTGTACGAACAGAATACGCTCCGAGGCATCCCCTCGCTCTAATCACTCCCGTCTCCCCCTCCTGTCCTCACGCTCCCTCCTCCCACCACTCCAACTGCTTCTATCTTCATCCTCCTTCGTCGTCATTCCTCGTATCCTCTCTCAGCTCCTCTCTATCATCCCAACCCTTCTGGCGC